TTTGCTTCCGAGAAACATGCTTTCCGAGCAAAAACGGGACGGAAAACATGAAATTTTGCAATAATCTTGCGCCACCCTTGCACAAAACGACGATAATTTTTTTAATTTCATAGATAACAGAAGACTGTATTTTTTCTACATAACCCCCCCATGAATTTAAAGCTGGATCCGCCCCTGGGTCAGAGCCTTTGAATTGCGAAAATTGGGTAGCTCCATTTTGACGTTCAATTACTGTTGGTTAGTTTCTACTTACTGTTCCTCACTCCACTAGGCCTGGGTAACTCAGTGAATTTTTAGGCGTTGGCGCAGCGCTGCGCCAACCCTACGCACCGGCGCAGTAACTCAGTTCCACTGGGAAAATTTTTATGACGTTTTTACTTTTTTTAGAATTATTTTAAAGGCCATTTATTTATAATATTTTTAAGTGTCTTCAAATTTCAGACTTTTCTAGTTTTAGCCAAGTTACTCTTTGTTCTAAATGCTCGAATTTCTAAAGTTTCACTTAAAAATGCTGACAATCTTAAGGTATTTTCGGCGAAATACTATGAAATAAATTTAGAATCCTTCGTCGCTTTGTAAAAAGTTTTGAAATCCCTTCCCAGCTTCGAATTTGAAACAAAAATCAGACAATTTTCTATCAAAAAACGAACAGAATAAGCGAAAGTTTATATCAGATTATTTGGAATCTGAAGACTGTAGCATTTGTTAAAAAACGTGGTTTTTAGTTTTGACTGATTTTTTTAAGCTTTACTTTCTACTGAAGAACGCTACAATTTGTAGAGTTTCACTTAAAAATACTGACGATCGGGAGGACTTTCACCAAAAAGATAAATTTATAGCTCTGTAAAAATGTTACCAAAACTTGTTGAATTTGATTTTCGTTCGTTTAAGAACTCACCAAGTTTCACCGTCCATATGAAAACTGTGAAAACGCGGCGCTGGCGAAAATGAACCGACGCGCTGTCACCTTTCTATTAGCTAAACAGTGGAAAATCAGGCATTTTCTTCATTGAAGTGAGTTTTTGCCATAAATAAACGAACAATCGGGCACTAAAACCGTTAAAATGTGTTTTTCCGCCAAATTTTTGAACGACAAATGTGCCACGTCTGGCCCACGGCATCAAACTTTGACAATTGTTACTGTCATTGTACGGAAAATGTCGCAGACCGTTCCAGCTTGATTACTAGTTGCTGTTGCGTCCATCCTAACTAAAAGAAAACATCCAGATGCCGAAAAATTACAGCATTTGAACCAAATACAGCAAACAATCCAACAATTCGTGCCAGCATTGGCTACCCTTTAAAAGCCTGTAAAGGTCAGCCCGATTGTTTCTGGTTTATAAGTATATTTTTTCATAGTCTCGACTGAACAAAACACGTTCAAGGGTGGGAAGTGGAGCGCAAATAAAGGGCCGGAAATTTAAAACTTTTATACAAGATATGGTCACTAAGCAGGCCCTAGAAAGGTGCTACGTCACTCGATGGTCTGTCACTTGTCAATCAATCATCCAGATGCAATATGGACGCTGAGGCCTACAGAGATAGTTGTGAAAGTACATAATGATTACGTGGTGATTTATGAGCCAATCAAATGCCGTTGTGTCATTAGTTGCAGGAAATATTCAATTGAGAGTATGTTGACAATTAATGCGGTCGTTTAATTGTGGTCTTATGCAATGAATTGAAGACTTCGGATCATTCTACAGGGTTTGAGCTCCGGTTTTCTTAACAAACACTTTGTTTGGACACTAAAAAAATTAAAACTAGCGGTTCCAACCGTAAATTGCCCGGTTAATTACTCCACACGCGGGTCATTGGACATTTGGACGATAAAGGTCATTAATTATTGTGGCCGAAAATGTCGCTAAAAGACCGTTAGCCTTAATCGCTGCCAGGGTGATTAGGTATTTAGGCGCTGAATTCAAATTGGGGTAAAGAAACAGGAAAATATGGAGGAAAATGCCCGCTTGATCGACTGTTGTCGACTGAAACTGTTCAGCATGTTACCCATTATATGTAAATTGATAAATTCATTGTTGTGACACAATCTCTGGTGAAACGTTGCATGAACACGATTTACATTCTTCTAGTTGGTAAATGGAAAAATGGGCCTTTCTGGGGCACACCGGCTGGCTTTATGAGGTTAGCAAGCGCCTATAATGCTGTTTGCAGTTTCTCTTTTAGCAAATATCGCGTAAAAAGCTTAATTGATTTATTGGAGCTTTTTTCAGATGGAACTAGCACTCGGCACTCCTTGTTTTCTCGTATTCAGTTTTGATGCAGCTGCATTTTCATCCGCTTTAATGCAGAACGTCGATCGTTGGCTCCTGCAGAATTCGTCAGAAAAAATCACTTCCCCTGACTCTCAGGGTTGTTCTATTGACTCTTTTTTGAATTAGAAAGTTGAAAAGGACGCAATTAATTGATGGAAAGTGAAGTTTCACTTGCATATCTCCGATCAGGATAATTACCGGAGAATAATGTGGAATGGCTTCCTAACTGCATAAAAATCACCCAGCAGTCATGGGCGTGCCACGCACGACAAAATTAATTATTTTCAATTTTAATAAATCACTGCCGATAGGCGCTAATTGCTGGAATTAGTGGGTTTTTTTTGCATTCTACTTCACTGGCACCTGCTGCCAGTAACTGTAAAACGGTCCACTTTTGTGCCACGCATTTAACAATAACATTTTTACGATTGGATAAGTAAAGATTATCGGCCCGACAACTAATCTAGAACATTGGAAACAAGGAAAAAACGACAAGGTGCCGGAGAAAGTCGACTGTTCAGCCTAAGCTACACTTAAGTTAATCCAGATTTTTAATCGGTAAAAGCCCATTCAACCGATGACTGGTTGAAAAGTGCGAAAGGAAAGCCTGATAGACTACTAATATTTGGTAGGATCAGATCTCGCTTAAATCCGGTGTTTTTGAAACTATCAAAGGATAAGCTCGAAGCTCGGATTTTCCATTGCGGAAAACGACAAAATCAGTGATCGGGGCAATACTCAATTCAGATGAAATCTTTTCAATTAATCTGTGTAACTACGACCAGATTCAAGTGGGTGAATCAGCAAGTTTTGATCTTTTGGAACTCATTGAATTCTCGTTTTGAGTTCGCTTTGCTCAGGGTCAAACTGCCGCATTTGGGAAACCTTATTTTCACTTATTTGCCATTCTCAAAGTGGAAACCACTTTAGGTTTTTGCAGAAAACTCTAGTCCTCCAGTTCTAGATTGAAAGACGGAAGTGCACCTTTGCACTGTTTTTGGAGCGTGGACAACTTTCCCCTAAAAAACTAAATAACTTCATACACAATTGGCTCCCTACAACATTCTCATGTTACCTAACACTTGGCCAAAATCGCCGTGAAAACCCCAATTAGAAGGAATTACTCAAGAACGTGTGACTTGGTTGGGGCTTTGTTGAACCAGAAATTTGCGTTGCTTCCATTTCGGTTCATTGCTAATCAGCTGCGCCCAGTATAAGCAAGTAGGTGAGACGAGCACCTTCATTCCTCAACGTTTCAACTTGAATATTTAAATGTCACTACTGAAGAAATCGTGCTCTGCAAGGAAATGGCTAAATGTTACAAACCGCGACTTCTGAGCCTTGAAAGCACAAAGTTGCAGGTCTACACCTTCTTCTGCTTCAATCTTGTTCACTTTTCCTTCTTCATATATTCATTAGAAAATGTTAATCAGCCTGGACAATCATCATTCATAATCGCAATGATCGTTTGCAGGCCAGAGAAAGCGGCCATGCAGCTGCGGTACCAATAACTCCTCTTGTCATCCGAAGTGAAAACAATCGGCGCGATGTGAGAAGAGACAACACGGATAAATCTTTGATTGCTCGTCTTGTTCGAAACGGTGATACAGTGATCAGAGTGCGGTGTGAATAGTTAGTGTAAGTGATCGAAAAATGACTGTTTCCGCCATGGATAACAACAAAAGTACTCGCAGAAGTTCATGGGAATCAAAGGTGAGTCTTGCGTGAAATACTTTCGCCTTTTCCGCAGTTCCATCGCACTTGTGCATGTTTAAATTACCTTTTTTCCACGACTTTTATAATGCCAATGTTCTGCTCGATGTAGTCGAACCACAAGAGAGTTGGAAAGTGTGATGTGGTTCCTGTTTCATGCAGCTTCCTTCATTGGGTTCTGCTTGTTACGTTCCAACAATTAACCGAATTTTCATTTGGAGTTTGCCTGAGAACAACATGCTTCAGTTTTCTTGCTTTTTAAAAAACATTTTAATTCATCGAAATCATTATTTAGCCTTAGAAAGATGCAACTTTTACCAGCTCTAGATAGAGCGTGTTTAAAACTCCAAAACCCATTTTCAAGGCGCGTAGTGCTCTAGATGAGACATCCGCCGTTTGAAGAGCCAATTCTCGCATCATCTCGCACTTGACTTTGAAAACTTGTGCAGTCAGATGCAATTGAACGAGCAAATCGTAAATTAAGATTTTTTGAAAATTGCAAATATTTGAAAATCTTCAAAAAATTGACTAGACGCATTTTTTCTCATACAAATTTCAGCAACTGTGAGTCAAACTGTCTTCTCAAGATGAAGAAAAGTTCGGATCGCTGCTTCTTTTAGTTTGGAAGAAAGGTGCGAATTCTCAAACGATAAAGCGCAGATTCTTTCGAGCCCGATATTCAGTAAACTGGCAAAAATCAGGATTTCCTGCGATTTGTCTGAAACTTGCACAGTCTTTTGGTTGAAATGTCTTTAATTTTAGATTGTGACTTGCTTTAGTTTGGAAGATGCGAATTTTCAGAGGGGTAGAAACAAGCCGCCAGGTTACGAAAATTTACAGATTTTGAAACTCACATTTTAATTAAAGATTAAAGTGTCTTCAAAGGATGATGTAAATTTCGCATTGCTATTTGATTTAGTTTCGCAAAAAACGAACTAAGAAGGGAGAGGCAATTGGGTAAAATATTTTTTTTGATTAGATATTTAGCATGCTGAAAAAAAATCAGAATTCGGAGCAATTTTCATGAAACTTTCAGCATCTTTAGAGCCAAGTATTCTCTACAGATAATGAAAATGTTAACTTCCTGCCTGAGTTATTTCGGACAAAGCAAATTTTTAAATCAGGAAGCGCATTTGTGTAAAAACTTCCCTTGAGACCGATGTTCTTACCAATCCGGAAAACATCAGGATTCGTGCGGATTTATTTCACACTTTTTCCAGCTTTAGAGTCAAATGTCTTCTAAATATGGTGAAAAATTGGGGTTGCTGCTTGCTTGCGTTTGTATGATGGAACATTTTACATAACAAATCTCAGACATAGAATTTGATGTATTCAACCTAAGAACTTCATTTTCTACACAATTTAGCTTGTGGGTATCGCATGGATGCACTATATTGGCAATAACTGTATTTGATCTATGGTAAAAGTTCTAAAACCTTAGCGTTCAAGGTGGAAATGGAATGTAGGCTGCATCGATTTCTTGATATTCACCTGCTCCTACTTAACAGAATGGCATTTGTATGGGTTTTAATTGAGCTACAGGTGCGCTGCAGAATTACAAACTATTTGAACTTGTATCGGGCGAAAAACAATCTAAAACTAAAAAATGCAAGAAGTTGGTGAAAAACACCCAATGATTAGATTAAAATCAAGTACCAAACGCAGTAAAACAGCTGTTGAAAATGAAAGTAACATTCCATAAAACACTAATCAAGGTGGAACTATCATGATCACGATTGTGCCTTAAATAGGCAGGTTAAAGGTGCAATAAGTCCAATTTTCGATTACGTAGCTGATGGTTTTTTGATTAAAACCACGACTTTGTTTCACTCATAGTCAATCTAATCAGTAAACGGTAGAAAAGTAGATTTTTTTAAAATTGGGTTGGTGGACGTCTTTTAAAAATGAGTTTATACACATACTTCTATTGGCATTGGCGGAATCGTTGCATGAAATATTCATTGACCAGTGGAGAAATGTTTCGAATAAGTCTAAAGCTGAAGTCCCATGCATTCGATTTCCGATGGTCCCACATGGAAATTATCCGTATCATAACGGTTGCTTTAAGAATTTGCATCTTCCAAACTAAAGCAAGTTGCAATGTGGAATTTTCAGCATCTTTAGAATACGCCTCACTCTAAAGATGGGTAAAGTTTGATAAAAATCGCCCAAAATCTTGAACTTTTTTGTCGAAATTGTCTCTACCTTTAGAAAACGCTTAATTCTATCGATGCGTCGAGTTTGATAAAAATTTCACAGAATTTTGATTTTTACCAGCTTAGTCAATATGGGTCATACATGGACGTTTCACCCAACTGCCCATCCTCTTTAAAAAATCGCACCTTCCAAATTACACCAACTAGCAATTTGAAAATTTTCCAATCTGTCGAAGACACTATAAGTTTTAAAAATTGCAAAAAACCTGTTTTTTTCAAAAAAAAGTGAAGCTTAAACTTACGTATAACATCTTATACGTGAAAGCACTTTCTGGTCCTTCGATTAAAGCATGCGATTATCAAATCAAAATCAATATTGCATTGTTGTTGTCGCAACTATTTCTAGGTCCCGATCAAGGGAAAGGCAACCAACAAGAGAATGGCCATTGATTCAGCATTTTTACGACAAAAACCGGACATTTTTTAATGAGAAGCAATCCATCCCAACCAATTATTGTCGAATCGATTTCGCGCTGTTTAGATTGATGGACATTTTGGCACTTTTATTAGCACATTTACGACTAAATCGAGTGAATCAATCGAACATTTGATAGACAATAAGTCCTGACTAACCGTAAACCCGTCAATTGTTTGCAATAGTTTACTGACCCACCAGTTCTTCAGACTTCGTCGTCTTTAAGCGATTCTTACTGGGTCATTGTGTCAAACCAGATCGGTGGAATCACGTATCACCAAAGTGCAGATTGAGCGCATGCTGCTCTTTTTTCGCCAGCCGAACACCAGTAAACACAGTTCATATGCAGTTAAGGACAGGAGTTTGAGGAGGAGAAAATTCCGGTCACTCTACGAGGATGAAGGGAAGAAACTGATATGATTTGGTTGGTCGGCCAGCAAAAGATCCGGGCCTTGCACTCATTAAACTTGAACTGGAAGTGAAGTTTAGAATCCGATCTAGAGTCACCGTGGAATTGGGGGAAAATGCTTAAAGTGTTTAGAGCATACTGAACTCTCATTTTGTTTGAATTTTTCCGATTTTTCATTGTTTTGCGTCTTGCAGATGTCCATCAGCACTGTCAGCACCAAGAGTAGACGATACCGAAAACCTCCCAGTTCAATCATTTCGTCCGATTCTGATATTCGCTTTACTCGAGGCAAACTCACATCGCAAACCCGATGTGGCTGCTGTATTATCGCAACGTTTCTCCTCTTTCTGCTGCTGGCTGCCGCATCCGTTTACGTAGGCTGTAAGTATTAACATCGATTGCAATCGCTCAAAGAAACTTGAATAGATTTCTTCAATTTAACTCTGCTGTTATTGAAACATCGCACACTGAAAAGGCTCCTCGACATACCTTTGCACTTGTTTAACGGGTTTCGTCGTAACAATAATTGAAATGAGACGCAGGAAATGTAATCTAGTCTCTATTGTCTATTATCATATGACCTTGTTGGGGACACTCCTGCTGAAAAAAGCTCTGAACGGTCTGCAAATCACGATTCCATGTCGGAAGTGAAGCTAACAGATTTTTTGTGGTTTGAACGCAAAAGTTGGGCGCGGTTTGAAGAATGTACTTTTGCCTCCTGGTTCTAAGCCAATGGTTGACTTTCCAGATACCTACTTCCTTCCAGAGTATCCAGGAGATCAGATCTACCGGGCGACATTTCGAGTGACAGAAGGAGACACTTTTTCCACTGAGCTGGCCGATCCCAGCACCAAAAGGTTCCAGGAAACCTCAAGAGACTACAAAGAAAGACTGAACTTGCTCTTCCGACGAAGCGCCATCAAGCACGGCTACCGTGGTACTGAAGTCCTGGCCCTTGATGGGTAAGAACTCTTAAAGCAGCACCAGGATTCTTCAAACAGCCGCAATTTTAGGACTGAGGATGAAGATCTCATAGTGCACTTTGACATCAAGGTCGATCCTACGTATGTGGGAATTAGTGCTGAAGACTTGGAGGCGATTCTGGCCAACGAGATTTCGGTTGAGGAGTCACTGTTTTTCAGGAACTTGACCATTGACGCCAACAGCTTGGAGGTGAAACCCAGCGATGCCCTACCTCAGGTTGGTTGAATGCGATTGGATCGGATAGGATTTCCTCTAAAGTGCGCCATCACCCGATGAGGAGTTTTGGTGAATTTTCAAAGTTGTCCTCAGCCGATGGTTTATGAATGCCTTGACTAATTTTGCTGCAAATTAGCTTCCCTAAGAGTTGATTTTGCAAAAAAAATGTATCTAAACTTCCCAGATGGTGACCACAACGGCCAACCCAGTGGTGGCGCAAACCATAATCACCATGGCCCCATACGTGCCCCGAAGATGTGCCCCTTTGAGCCTGCGCTACTGCAACAATCTTCCCTACAACGTCACCACTTACCCGAATGCCCTCCAGCACCGAAGCATCAAAGAGGTCAGAGATAACGTGATTTCCTTCAGGTAAGTCCTCCAAAGAAGGTAAGTCCCCTGATGTGAGACTCTCAATGGATTTCCAGGGAACTGGTTGACGCTGAGTGCTACAGACACGCCTACGACTTTATCTGCCAGCTCCTGCAGCCTGGATGCCAATCTGGAGGAAACGAAGACCGAATGGTGCTGCCTTGCAGGAGCTTTTGCCGGGACTTTATGGCCGGATGCGGCAGCAGGCTGTCGGATAAAGTGAGGGCGCTGATTGACTGCAGCAATTTTCCGGAGTTCAGCTCTGGACAACAGTGTTTTTCGCGTCCAGGTAGGATTTTTTCATTCTGGAAAGCGTCCAGTGAAAGAGCAATTTTTGCCAACTAACCTCAGGCTAAAGGGGGTCTACAGTCCTCCAATCCAAAAATCGATTGTTTTGTTTTTTATAATAATCGATTGTTTCGATAACGAGGCCAGAAGCGATCAGATACTGTCACGTCGAGTGTGATGAATCTATTGACGGGAAAATACGCTCAAAATCAGCCAATTTCAATACCCGAATCATCAATTGACCTTTGGGACTTTTCGTGGTTGTTGTTGGCTTCAATTTCCCGGAAAAAGTGGAAAAACTCCAAAGTGTCTAGATCAGTTGCAACTGTTTTTGACAATCGACATCTCACTGCTTTTCAGGCTGCGTGGATGAGCTGAAGGCCAAAGCGTTATCCCCGCGCATCTGCGACGGTGTCATTGACTGCTCTGATTTGTCCGATGAAAAGTCCTGCACGTATTGCGCAGCCAATCAGCTGCATTGCGGCATTGGAAGAACCTGCATCCAGACCAATCAGCGCTGCGATGGCAGAGAAGACTGTCCCGATGGAAGTGACGAGCGGGGTTGCTGTAAGCCTTCTGCTTCTTCACCTGCTGATGATAAAATTTGTCGATCTGTTGCAGTATCGCTGGTGCCGAGCATTCAACAGCTGAAGTCCATCCAGATGATCTCGCCGCATGAAACCGAGTACTATCCAGAGGGCGTGGTGGTGTTCAATGAAAAAGGAGAGTCGGGAAAACTGTGCACTGAAAGCCTGAATAAAACGCTATCGGGGAACAGAACTGAGGAAGTGCTGAGGACTGTAGCGGTGTCGCTGTGCAGGGCCTTGAGTTACCAGTAAGCACCCACACGCCGCTTGAGTGCAGTTGCTGATTTTCCACCTTGTCCCCTCTAGGGATGTTCTGTCGTTCCAAGTGGTCCAGGACTCAGAAGAAGGCAGCCCCTACGTGAAAATCAAGGACCCTTTTGCGGACGACATCAGCTTCCTGCAAAGCAAATGCCCGTCCAAGCAAGTGCTCAAGGTGCAATGTGAAGAATTAGGTAAAACACACGAAGTCTAGGTAGTGTTGTTCTGGTGCACACGATTCCATTCGTTTCCTAGAATGCGGCCTTCAAAGCACCCACACGAAGACCATGCGGGTGCTTCAGAAGATGGCCGCGCATGGCGACTGGCCTTGGCACGTGGCACTCTTCAAAGAGGAGGTGCACATCTGCGACGGCATTTTGCTGTCCTCCAGTTGGCTGGCCACCACCACATCATGCTTCCAAGGCCAGCCCAAAGCCGAATGGACGGCCAAGTTTGGGATCGTGCGCCTGGCCAGCACCTCACCTTGGGAGCAGGAGCGCCGAATCATTGGAATGGTAATCATTGGAATGGCTAATAAATAAGTCCAATCGGGGATCCATGATTTTGGGTTTCCAGGTAAAATCCCCGGTCGAAGGCAGCACGATTGCCCTAATCCGGCTCGACCAATCGGTGACTTTTAACGACTTTGTGCGTCCTGTTTGCCTGCCTGCAGCCAAGTTGGTGCTGCCCACTACGGCTCACTGTACCACTCTGGGGTGGGCCAGGAATAGGGAGCAACTGCAGCGGGTCCAGGTGAAGGTGGCCGACCGACAAAAGTGCGAAAATGTCAGCATTTCGAGCGTCAACAGCATCTGCACCGAGACGATTCATGGTCATAACGACTGCAATGTAAGTGCTTGATTTACGTAAACTTTCCGAACTCCTACAGAATGTACTGTCGTAAAGGAAGAAGAGTTTGCGGGCAGTTCAATGGTTTGCAAAACATCCAATCCGGATAAATGGACGCTGATTGGTATAACGAATTGGCGAATCGCATGCGCGAAGAACGGCATGGAACGGCCCAGGATGTACGATAAAATCGGGTCCAATGTGGACTGGATTCGGGAGACCATTTCCAGTTCGAATAATACCTGAAGGATGCGCAGAAGGACTCCTTAGATGATAATCCTCCAAGGGGGTCCTTGAAGTAACAAGAGCCACTTAAAGTTCGAATACAAAGCAGATGCGTTAAAGTGCCAAAAAGTAGATTTATCTTTTGTATAATATTGTGGAAGTATTCAAGTTTTAATAGTTTAACCTATGTGCTAGTTAGGGATCTTGAAGATATGGTTATGACGACAGAATGGATTGCTTCCTCTCAATTCAGTGTGAAGACTATTTAGCCACTAGCTCTCAAACCGATCACCAATAAGGAGATAACTTGTAAAATATTGCCTGAAGAATTGCTCCTGAGATTAGATACTTGATTGATTGTGGCTTGATCAGCAAGATTTCCTTGAATTTGTATATTTCTAAATATAGCCTAGACCTTGTTATTAAAAAAGCCGTTTTTATTCATTTTCAGTTCATTTTTCCTCCGGTGTGCCAACCATTTGGCCCAGGCCTGGGTAACGCTGTGTTGAGTTAAGCTATTGTGTTGTTGCCGCTCTCTGAGTTAACAAGCTATGACTCATCGGTTAATGAGTTACAATTCATTTGTTAAAGCTTTACGAGACCCCGAGGCCGGAATTTTCACATCTAAAAAAGGGTTTTTAACGTTTTTTATGAGAGAAAAACGTTTTACTACTTTGTTCACACAACTAAAAAACGTAATCTAAATTTTCCAACCATGTTTTTTGATACAAAATTGTTTGATTTTTGTTCTCAATTCAAAGCTGGAAAGGGACTTCAAAACCTCACCAGAATGTAAAACGTCAACGATGTGAAGGTCAAGCGGGTACTTTTTTGCTTGCTTGCTTGAATTAAATGAAACATTTCATCACGTCATTAAACCAGAACGACGCGATTGGAAGAAATCCAAGCTAAAAAAATAAATGTCAACATTCAATTAAACACACAATCTGATTTCCTGTCAAAACTGGCCGCTTTGAATGTCAAGTCGAGCATTAGTGGTGCAGTCGAACATAAGAAATGACGCTGTCAAGTTTGAAAACGTCAAACAAACGTCGCTAGTACACACAAAGTCAAACTTGTGAAGTTTGGACGTGGCCACCGAAAACAAGGAGGCCACGGCTTAGAAATGACGTTTTGAACTTCAAAAAATGTCCGTTAAAATGACAGGAGCTAACATTGACGCTTTTGCTTACAAGATAATTTAGAATATATTTGGAAACTGGCAAGAAAGTAAAACAATTGAACAAACTCACATTTTTAAGTGATAAGAAGGCAGACAAAAGCAGGATCTTTGGAACGAATACCAAAAAATAATGGCAAAGGTTGCTTTTTTTATAGACAGGACACAGTCAAATCGAGCATTTGTAAAAAGCGGATTTAATCAAACAAAAAAACCAACGATTTCATTCTGGAAAAACCCAATAAAACACATAAATCAAAAAAATAATTACTGTGATAAAGCTGATGAGTCCAGGCTTTATTCGAGCTACCAACTGCATGGGTGCACACATAAACAGCCTTGGGTTTTTTAAATCACTTGAAAATTGTGGATTATTGCTACTAATACCTGTCCATTGTGAAAAAGTGTATCCGATAAGGCTCCAAGCAGAGGTTTTATCTGGGCCCACTTGGGAAATCCAAATCAGTTATCCACGATATCCCAAGCGGAGAAGAAAACGTTGGGAATTGTTAAGGAAATGTCGAGCCTGTAATGGGCTGCTCTTGCTCCCGCGGATCAAATGTTACGGGCCGTAATATCGTTATAAGTGGAATGGGGCCGAATAATCGCAATATTGAAAAAACTGGTTCAAACAGTGACAATTTTACAGTGGAATCGATCAAAAAAGATGACTTAGTGGAAGTTGAAACTATAAAACGGGAGCTAAAGGATAATGCCAGTGTGTTTGTGTTGAACAACGTTCTGATGTCGTTGCAGTTTTTCGCCAACCATGAAGAGTAAGTAACAAGGAAATTTTGGTTTTTGGTTGTTAAATGAGGTGATTTCACATCACAACATTCCCATCTCGAGTTAATCCCGTTAATCTGGCGTAGAATTACATATCTGCAATGATTGGCACCAGATTAACGGGCCTCAAGTAGTTGATACTGGCATTCAAACCCTCAGCAACCAGTAGTTGTGCAAACATTGCTTAGTTAACAGTTACGACTGACAGTGTCGCAGGCCTTTATCAGATCGCCGTTTGGCACAGTGACCAAAGTAATGGGTAGCGATTGTTCCAAACGCTCTGGCCAATCCGATATCAGCGCCCGTCCGTCCAAAGTTGTTAAAATGGGCGCATTTGGCGACACCGATGGAAACATTTGCATCGAATCCATTCAGAGGGACGATCTGATGGTGATGAATGTCATTCAACAGGAGCTCCAACAGAATGCGCATGCGTTTGTGTTGAATAACTTGATTTTGAGTCTTCAGTTTTTCGCCGATCACAAAGAGTGAGTATCGAGGCGACTGGTTGAGGTACTTGGATTGCGCTGATTAATCCAGCCAAGCCAACATGAGATTAGATAGAGCTGAATGATGATTAATGGGTGGATGTTGACAAGGTTTTTTGGAATTTTCCAAATTGACCGGGGTCTGGTTCAAATGGCGCTAAATCGGGTGATTTGGGTGGACATGTAGGAGATGCGTGCGTTTTGGTTGATTGGTTGAAACTTTGAAAATCGTATTCACATTGAGCCATTAGACAGTCCAGGAATAAGCGATCTTTTTAAGAGCCGTAGGCAAACCGGGTCATTTTAGTCAAAAATTTGAAACCAAAAAAGTTTGAACACCTCAATGATATTCACTCAAGCAACCAATTGATTCCTCCGCAGACTGATCAAGCGCCTCCAGCAAGTATCGGCGACGCCCCAGGAAAAAGAGATGAACAAAACCCTGCTCAAAGATGAAACCATGGAATGCACGTATCCAGACGCCATCCTGGAGGAGGTGAACAAGAACATCATCTATAGAACCACTGATGAGTACAGCCAGTCTGAAGCGCTCTTCACCCGGCGCATTTATGTGATCAACGATCTCATTGAGGTGGTCAAGTCGGACGAGATTCCCCAATACACGTCCATCGACAAGCCGTGCTACCAGGTGAAGATTGAAGATTGCAAAAGGAAAGGTAAGCGAAGCAAACAAGTGAAAGCTGCAAGTTGTGTGTTCCATTCGCCGCAGGCTTCCTGAAGCTCCAGCAGGTGGAAAACAACGCCCCCATCCTCAACTCCAGAGAATATGAGGAAGACTACGAGCCCCTGCCAGGGCCCTCATCCAGATCTGATTCGGAATGCGACTACTCACGCATCACCGAACTGAGAACCCCCAAAGTCATCGAAATCGATCAAGCAATTGAGCGAAGGGACACTCTTCCCGAAACCTGCTTCACTCATCGGAAGATCAAGTGTATCCCAGTGGACTCACTGGAAGAAGACGACGAGCAGCAACGCCTGGAGTTCCTGGCGAACTTAAATGAGGCCGATCTGATCAAAGACGTCATCTACATCAACTCCAGCGGCGTTATGAAGTACTTCCAAAACACCCTCTTCCCCATATCGCTGGGGAAGACTCTGGGCTTCAGTGAGGAGGCGATCTTCATGGCCAAGGCTATTCCCGGCCGCATATTCTGCGACGAAATCGACATCGAAACCAACGTGAAAAAGGCCTTTGAGGTGAGGTGAACTTCTTCGGCTTAGCAAGCAAGTGAGTGTCGCTTTCACAGGTCATTCCAGCGGTGGGCATCCCGTTCCCGGACGACCAGACCATTGAGTTTGTATATCGAGAGGATCGGCCTACTATAGTGGACCGAAGAACGGGCGTCAAGTACCGATGGCCTACGACAGGAACTGGCGGGATGATCGAGGAAATTCGGAACATGTCAGCAGTGCTGGTGCCCAAGGGATATGCGAAGAAAAAGGGCGTGAATAGAGATGCGAGTGAGTATTTTCACGCAAGTGATAACAGCCGACTTGAGTCCAGAAATGCGTCAAGATCCGAAAATAGAGCTTTGTGATTGCAACATCAGTTGGAGCCATGAAAATTCCCAAGCTGCTGACGATTGCTTATCATCTCCTTGAATCCGCCAGCGGGTTATTGACAAGTTCAATTGCTCAAAGCTCAAGATAGACGTGATTAACTTTCACCTGGCTTTTTTGTTATTGGGCGTTTTGCCTTAATTTTTTTTAAATTAATTCCTGATGAATTACATTTAGAACTGTTTTTCGGGCTTTGAAGCCGTGGTCCATGGGAATTTATTCATGACGTTTCGTCCACAACTGCAGTGGACATTATCAAAAGCGATGAGGCAGTGGGTGACGTGATGAAGTTTTCGACTAAGACTGGTTCAACTACTGGATCTCCTGTCGTATTTATGCGGCGACAGGGGATCAAGTAGTTGAACCAGTCTTAGTCGAAAACCACGGGAGATCGCCTTTGATAATGCCTTTGATAATGTCCGCTGCAGTTGTGGACGAAACGTCATGAATAAATTCCCATGGACCACGGCTTCAAAGCCCCAAAAACAGTTCTAAATGTAATTTGACCGGCCGTGAAAGCCTTCACAGTGCTGATGAATTGTTTGAAATCTACCTGAACCTCTGCTGGCTCCTTCAAAGACTTTGCTTTTTCTCACCTGGAACCATCACGTCTCCTGCCAAAGCAGCCAAAAACTGTTTCCATGGATTTTCAGGTTTGGAATGGGAAGTCAATTTCCCTAAAGCAGAACGGTACTTGGAGGCGCGCATGTCCCACGCCCAGATGAAATGCATGCTCCTGCTGCTCACACTGCACAAGACCTTCATAGCGCCAGTGACGGCGCAAAATGGGCTCTTGCCCGAACACATTCGCACCCATATGTACTGGCAGTGCGAGCGCGATTACCGGAACTGGCCGGAACATCGACTGGGCACCAAATTGCTCCGAGTCATCAAAGATCTACAACACACCCTTTTCTTAGGTAAAAACTCCCACCAACCGCATTCGGTTCAGCGGATAACAGTCTCGTACTCCCCCAGGTTCACTACCGCACTTCTTCATCAAAGATCGCGATCTATTCGAGAACATTCCCAAACAGTACCTGAACTATGCCCAAAAGGTGCTGCTGCAAATCCTCAACAACCCAGTGCCGTACTTTGTAAAAGCGCTAGGGAACTTGCGCTACACCAGCGGCAAATTCTACCCGCCCCTGGACTTGCAGGAACTCTACCAGGCCCTGAAAACCAAGTCAAGTGCCGGTAAATTATTCTCTGAAGTTCTCGAAGTTGCCTCTAATGGGGGTTTTTGCGCAGCCTTGGTCAATCCCCAGTTGAGCTACCAGCTGGTGCCGCAGCTGAAGCGGAGACTCTACAGGGACCCCGACCAGCAAATGAAGCACCTGAAGTATCTGAAAAAGAAGGAGCAACTGCTAAGGGAGCGCGTGCTGGAGAAGGAAGCGGAGCGCAAGGCTAGGGAAATGGATGAAGTGTTGATGAAGGAAATGGTGGATGTCGAGGTGAGTTGCCCGCAACTTCTAAACAGGAGAGATTTGCTTCAAATTGACACTCATTCTAGGAGCCCATTGACAAGGAGCTGGACATTTGGAAGACCAAGGCTGTTCTGGACATTTTCATCCGACACTACATAGACATTGCCAGGAAAAGCTCGAATATCGCCAATTCCGAACAGGCCCTGTTCTACCTGAAGCAGGCCGCATATTTGGCCAAAATCCTGGAAGATACCTCAGGAGCCTTTTTGGAGGAAATTCGGGAATACCGACAAACCATTGCCAAAGAGGAGGCGCGCATTAAAAGAAAATCCGTCAGGTGGGACACCAAATTACAGTGAATGAACGGTGGGCATCTACTAGTCATTTTCAGGTCGATTTCCTTCAGTGAAAACAAACCTCCCACACCATTGCGCAATTCCAACTCCTTCAGCGTCCAGGAAATCAATCAGCAACTGAAGTTTGGCTCGATTAAGCTGAACAATCTACAAGTGTCGTTTACGAATGGGGCCCAGCCTCCGGCTGTCCCCAGAAGCCTTAAACCGTCCGCTGTCCAGAGGAGTGACAGTCACAGCAAGCAGAATGGCTTGGTTCCCAAGCAGCGGAAAACTGTAGCTTTTGTCGAATAGTTGTATGTTTTTCTTTCTACCCTAGTAGGGCTTCAGGAGGATCAGTTTTTCAGTAGAATATAACGTTTTTGTATATAAATAGCTTTTGTAAATAGGCGCTGATGTTAGGATAAGAACGCAATGTAAAGAATAAATTATTGACGCTTACCAGGTGGTATTCTTGGGATCTTGAGTTCTTGCCGCTCCCTGAGTTAACGAGTTTTAAATCATCGGTTAATGGGTTAAAATAATTAATTTGTTAAAGCTTTACGAGCGTTTTTGAGTAGAAACTAAAGCAAAAAAAAATTCAGTTAAAACTAAAAAAACACACTTTTTAACCAATCTTCAGAGGAATGGTGGTGACGAGATTTCCAAATAATCTATTATAAACTTTCGCTAATTCTGTTCGTTTTTTGATAGAAAATAGTTTGATTATTGTTCCAAATTCGAAGCTGGAAAGGGATTTAAAAGCTTTTTACAAAGCGACGAAGGATTCGAAATTTATTTCATAATTTTTCGCGGAAAATACCTTAAAATTGTCAGCATTTTTATGTGAAATTTTAGAAAATTGACCATTTAGAAGAAAGAGTAACTTGGCTAAAACTGGAAAATTCTGAAATTTGAAGACATTTCAAAAATATGATTAATAAATGGCCTTTAAAACAAATCTAACAAAAGTAAAAAACAGTCATCAACATTTTTTCAGCAACGGAACTGAGCCGGTGCGTTGGGTTGGCGCAAAAAAAAACTTATATCTACTTGACACCTCGATATCAGCCTTTCAGGGCCATTTAAATCAGTAGCCCCTGTTTAGACTAAACTAATCTTAATCGCGCTTGTAAACAGTTTGTCTGGCACGATTAGGGACTGAAACAGTAGATAAAGAGTGAAACCAGTGGCAGTGCGAACATCCATATTTCATCCCCAGCATAGAGGAAATAAAATAATTACATTTCACTTAATCAGTAAAAGACACCTATTTAGGGGGTTTTTCGGTCAGTAGATGGTGGTAAAAATAAAACGCTATTACTTAGATCTTACTAGGATCTTAGAGCCCTGAGTTTTTTTCACCAACCGCTAGGTCGATTCGGGTTCCTAATTTTTGACTTTCGTATATGTATGTAGTATGTATATGTTTTAGTTGTCGCCAAGGTATTTTGAATTACATGGAAGAACAAAAAGTTCATCTTGAACTGCAATTTATTTATCTATTTTTTTGTTTCAGTTTATTGAGTTTGATTGTGATTTGTGGTTTGATATGGAATGCGTGATTGTGTTCGATTGTGGTCAGTTCTTAGTTTGTGGGTTTGTGGCGTGTTTTTAGTTGGTGGTGGGTTCTGTTCAGCACGCTTTGTTTATGTTGCATGGATTTTGTTACTGCGGTTTTTTTCTGTATAATGCTAATATGGAGATAATTTGTAGCAAAGTTTCGGTAAGTGTCAAAGCTTAACTCCCGAAAAATTATACTTCAAAAGCCGTTTTTTAGTTGGTAAGAATCCAACACTATCCAGGCTATCGGACTACTGGGTGTCTTCGCGAAGATGTTTATCCTCTAGCCGCCGGGCAAACAAAAAAACAGAAAGTTGTAGATTTTTTTAGTTGGCAGGTAAAAGTTGTGTTTATGTGCATTGATTGATTGTCTTTTTATTAGGATTGTTCCTGTTACACAATAAACAATTGAATGGAATTGAATAGAATGAATTATAAGTTTCTTGTTTGTCTTGTCTCTGCACTGCAAATATTTTCACATTACACGTTTGTTTTGGAAAAAGTGTTATATTTCTTAGAATTGCCTCTCGAAGGATTGAAGGACCCGAAAATGTGACTTTAAACTAGAAAATTAGCGATCGTAAAGGAAATGTTGACGATTTTTGCGACTTAAATCGTTGGCAGGATATTAAGAGAGGGAAGTTTTTAAATTGAGACCCGCTGTATTGGAAAACAAGAGCATTCATTCTACAACCTTGGGTTACAAAAAATCGACCCCCACTCTTGGAAAAATTTGTTTTGGGGAGGCAAATTGCAAAAGTTTGCAATTTTTTTATGGCTTAATTTAAGGACCATCCAGGAATTTGCGCTTTAAAGTAAGAAAATCGTTCGTCGGGACTCAAACGACACAATCACCGTTTGGGTATTTTCACGCATTTCCTAGGTGAAATCAATTGAATCTAGGCGCCTAATTAGATTAGAGGGCCTGATTAGCCGCAACTTTCTAGTCATAAAGATAATGTTGGCGCCGCCACTGATCAACCATAAATAATTTATTTTTAATTGGTTAAATGCAGAACAACGTTGCCCAGTTGCAAGAAAGTGCCTTCAACATCTACGCCTCTGCTGCGTACTCGACACAGGGACTCTTAAGGCCCTTCGGGCCCTATACCATCACATTGCGCACTGTTTGGGATGTTTGCAAACGGCCCTTACAACTTTTTTTGCTTACTCTCAGTTGTCACAGTGTCCGGCAGGTTTTCCAGATTTAAGTCGCATGGACTTTCGGTGGACCAGTACCACTTAAGTGGAAGCGCTTGGCAACTGTGGTACCAGCACATAGTGGCATTTTGCATGCTCAGAAGACCACTAGTTTAGTGAAACCAGTGCGGAAACGTGTTAACGGTGCAGAAAATGCCATCCAGTAGCGTGCCCGCCTTCTTGGCCCTTGATAACGGCGTGGTTCTGCCCGGGAAATCATTCGGTGCTGTTCAGCAAACCGATGGAGAAGTTGGTAAGTGGTACCGGCAGACACGTGCACTCCGGTTTAGGTTATATTGGTACGCATGCCACTTTGTTGATTGTTTGAAGTGGTACCAAATAACTGTAAACTCGATCAATCTCAATAAAGAACGTTTTGCCTGATTCTGGAGCATGAACTTCCCGTAATAAGACCAATAATGGAACGTTTCAGTGTTCCAAACTGGCATGGTGGGGTATCCAGAATCCCTCACTGATCCAAGTTACCATGCCCAACTTCTGGTACTCACTTATCCAATTATCGGCAACTATGGGGTACCGGCAGCCAAATGTGACGCCAATGGACTGCCCTAGTGAGTGATAGTGATGATATTCTTCTTACAGCCTTGCTACCAGAGCTCGTCTTTCGCTATAATTTCTATGAAATTTTTGTTACAGAATATGCTTTTTTGCTAACAAATTTTAATAGAATCAACTCAAAGTCCATTCCAAAGCAGGGCAAAGTCCAAATTCAGAAGCTCATTCAAAAAATTTTCAAAAATTCCCTGAGGATGGCTGGAAATCGAAACTTTTCGCATATCTAGAACGCACATCTAGATCGCCTTGAAATGAATTTTTAAGAAAAATCCCTTATTATTAATAAAAACAATAATAATTTCCGTTTAGTTTTTTTGAGTCGCAACGCATTTGGGCGGCCGGACTCATTGTCAGCGAGGAATGCGACAAACCGAGCCATTGGCGCAACGTGAAAACTCTCTCCGAATGGATGCAGGAAGAGAATGTTCCAGGCATTCAGGTAACTGCGCTCTTGGCCCAATTTCATCGACTCGAAGTTGCAAATAGCCTGATATTCTCTATATATATATAAAAATGAATGTATGTCTGTTTGTCTGTCCATAAAAACTCCAAATTTAACCATGATCGCACCGAGCTACAAGTCTGAAATTCTGTATGTTTCTTCGTTTGTTGGAGAGTAACTTCTTAACTCTTTTAGTTTTTGAGTTAGCCCCTCCAACTCCACCATCTCAGCACTCATCCCTAAACCCACAAGTTCTGCAACTCCTGCTTCTTTCAGACGAAGAAATCGAGGCTAAAATTGGTAAAATTGAGGCCGCAATCTCTCGAAACCCAATCCTTAAAATGCTATGTTAAAAAGTAGCATTAATCCCCCAGGTGTCCATATCGTATCATGAAATGCCGCATCTTTGTACCCTAAAAAGTACGAATTTGAGGCTTACTTGAAAGAAAACGATGTAGACATCGCTCTCATCCAAGAAACATTTTACGTCCCCATTCTATATTAACAATTACTCCACTTTGGGCGGAGGCACCGCAATCATTATCAAAAACTCGATTTCTCACGCCCCGCTGCCCCCCTTTAACTCTATAATCGAGTCTACTGCCATCAACCTTCACATGCAAAACTCCACTATCCAACTAACCTCAGCCTACAAACCCCCCAATAAAATCACCACTCCTGCCGATTATGAAACCTTTTTAACCCAAAACTAACCACCCTCCTAGCTGGGGATCTTAACAGCAAACATGTTACATGGGGCTGTAAAAAACCCAACAGCGAAGGAAACAAACTCCTTCGACTATCCGAAGACTTAGACCTCCAAATCCACGCCCCCGATGAACCCACTCACTTTCACTATCAAAATCCTGATATCCTGGATATCGCTATTTCCAAAAATTTCGCTCTTAATTTGACAATCTGAAACTCTGACCTCAGTTCCGACCATAACCCAATTAAAATACTACTTAACGAAACTTTCATACACAACCCTCTCCAACAACTAAGCTACACAGACTGGGACGCCCTTACCCACTACTTAAACCAAATTAATATTCCAGAGTCCCCAATAACAAACACCCTCGAACTCAACTACCTTAATAACACCCTTACCGAGAAAATCACCGAGGCTATGCTAAAAGCAACAAGTTGGAAAGATAACTCTAACAAAAACACTTTTCGGTCTACCTCTTGAAGTTAAGAATAAAATAAAACTGCGAAATCGCCTTAAGCGACTAGCTAAAAGAAACGCGGATTATCTTCTAAAGCGACAAGCAAACCAACTAACGAACCAAATTAAAAAACAAATTTCTGAAATAAAAAACGCAAAATGGCAAAGTTATCTGGAAAACTTGGAGCCGGGTGAAATATCGGTATGGAAACTCGCTAAAAAAATTCAAGAAAAATCCCACACTAACTTTCTCCCCATTAAAGGCAACAACTTTTTCGAAACTCACGGAGAATTTCGTTAAAGAAAGACTCTTAGACAAAATCCCCTTAACAACGAATTCCTATCCAAAAAACACTCCAAATTTAAATCCAAAGTCCCTAATCATCCAAATCCAATAGTCAAAGCCAGCTTCTCCACTATCCCCGTCGAACCCATCCAGGGCCATAAATCCATCATGGCCCCCCTGGAATGGGAAAACTAACAGCCCAAAACCCCCCAAACAATAAACCAAATAACCCTCCTCCCTCCAAACCCTTTGCCGCTTTCCCCCATCCTCCGTTAAAACGCAGAGGTACAAGGGCAAGGGGGAGCATCTGCAAAAATCACGAACGCGATAAAAAAATAAAAAAAACACCCGGAAAATACCATAAGCCAAAAGGCACCCGGAAGAAGCAAAAGTTCGAAAGAACAACAAGGCTCTCGCAAAAAAGCAACAACAACTTTAGAGATCGATCAGAATGTTGTAGAAGAATTGCATACGTCGCTCCGCTAGTCCTAAAAAAATCAGCTAAAAGTAGGACATTCTAATAGTCATGTATTTAGGGCATCGACACCAGAGATTTGACGAAAATCATCCGGGAAAGAGGAACTATGTTGGGGCGGATAGTCTACACGTTGCCTATCGACCCTAGATCCCTATCAATACCTGATCCGAATCTCCGAAATTTGGTCGCAGAAGTTTCGGTTAAAGTACGCTCTTAATCCGGGGCTATTAATTCCCGTCAGGTAATTTGTTATTGTTTAACACAGAAGTCAACCACTTACAACGCCTCTGGATCGCCCAGGATATGTGCAGTGGATTGCGGCCTCAAGTACAACCAAATCCGGTGCTTGATAAAACGCGGAGCCCGAGTGGATGTGGTTCCGTGGAACCATCGCCTAAACGTCGAAGAATTCGACGGGCTGTTTCTGAGCAATGGGCCTGGGGACCCCGCAATGTGCGCCGAAACCATCGAGCAGCTGAAGACGCTGCTGCAGAACGGGCAGAAGAAGCCGATTTTCGGCATCTGCTTGGGACACCAGTTGCTCTCGAAGGCCATCGGCTGCGGCAGCTTTAAGATGAAGTGAGTCCCTTGATGGTGAAGTTTCCCACTCACTCACAAAAAACAAAACGGGTGATTTTTCCCAGATACGGCAACCGCGGTCACAACCAACCATGCATCCACCATGGTACTGGGCGTTGCTATATGACGTCCCAGAACCACGGATTTGCCATCGACCCAGCCACTCTGCCTCCTGATTGGGAGCCGCTGTTTACAAACGCCAACGATTCCACCAATGAGGGCATCGTCCACAAGCACTTGCCCTACTTCAGCGTCCAGTTCCATCCAGAGCACATGGCAGGCCCGGAGGACTTGGAGTGTCTTTTCGACGTTTTCCTCCAGGCGGTGAAAGAAGGCCTGAAAGCAGCCAGGAGTGTAAAGCAGCAACTCACTCACGAGCTGAAGTTTGTGAGCGAAGCCCCAGAGATCAGCATGCCCAACAAGGTGCTGATCATCGGCTCCGGAGGACTTTCCATCGGACAGGCTGGGGAGTTTGACTATTCCGGCTCCCAGGCCATCAAGGCTCTGAAGGAGCAAAACATCCAAACAGTGCTGATTAATCCCAATATTGCAACAGTGCAAACCTCCAAAGGTCTGGCGGATAAGGTGTATTTTCTCCCCCTGGTGCCGGAGTATGTAGTGCAGGTGATCCGCTCGGAGCGACCTGGAGGAGTCCTGCTCACTTTTGGAGGCCAGACTGGCCTCAACTGTGGGGTGCAACTTCAGAAGCTGGGGGTGTTTGAAAAGTACAACTGCGCCATTCTGGGAACCCCGATCCAGGCCATCATTGACACGGAGGACCGGAAGGTCTTCTCTGAGCGGATTGCGGCCATTGGGGAGAAAGTCGCTCCAAGTATGGCAGTTTTTTCCGTGCAGGAAGCCCTGAATGCTGCTGATGTGCTTGGGTATCCTGTTATGGCGCGAGCGGCCTTTTCTCTGGGAGGACTTGGATCAGGTACTATCATAAACTAACTCTTTGGGTACCAAGGAAGCCACTAACTTTGCACTTGACTTTGCAGGATTTGCCAACAACAAGGACGAGCTGGCCGCTTTGGCCACTCAAGCCTTAGCTCACTCCAACCAGCTGATTATCGACAAATCGCTGAAGGGCTGGAAAGAGGTGGAATACGAAGTGGTGCGCGACGCCTTCGACAACTGCATAACCGTGTGCAACATGGAAAATGTGGATCCTTTAGGGATCCACACTGGAGAATCCACAGTGGTGGCTCCCAGCCAGACCCTCTCCAACAGCGAGTACAACATGCTGAGAACCACAGCCATTAAGGTCATCCGACACTTCGGAGTAGTGGGCGAATGCAACATCCAATACGCTCTGAGTCCGTTCTCCGAGGAGTACTACATAATTGAGGTGAATGCAAGGTTATCCAGAAGCTCGGCCTTGGCCAGCAAGGCCACCGGGTACCCATTGGCCTACGTGGCGGCCAAGCTGGCCTTGGGAATTGCGCTGCCGGACATCAAGAACTCCGTAACCGGCAATACGACGGCCTGCTTTGAGCCCAGCCTGGACTACTGTGTGGTGAAAATGCCGCGCTGGGATCTCCATAAGTTCTCCAGAGTGAGCACGAAAATCGGCAGTGCCATGAAAAGCGTGGGCGAGGTGATGGCGATTGGGCGCAACTTCGAAGAGGCCTTCCAGAAGGCCCTGAGAATGGTGGATGAGAATGTGCCAGGATTTCATCCCTATATTAAACAGGTGAGTTTCTGTCTAGCTGGAATATTTTGCGCATCCTGAGTGCCTCTGAAGATAGTGCAGTTTCGCAGCGCAGCCCTTGCTTGTGTGTCGACGTTGATTAAGATTAAAGAAACCTCGCATGTGAAATGAATTATTATATTATGATTAATTAACAATAGCTGATTTATAACCATCTGCCCAGATTAGCTGTTCAGTGAAGCACGAGTAGCTTACAGTGGGATTTTAAGCCTAATCCCTTCTGGGGAATCTATAGAGTTTAAGAATAATAATGTGTTCCTTGAGTGGTTGCCTAACACCTTGATTAGGATTTTGAATGCAAGTTCAGATTTCATTGACGTGGACACACATTGCTCCCTAATCTAATCACAACTTTGAATACATAATATCCGGGTTTACATTGATTAGGCGCCTGAAGAAGAACTGCTATAGGATTAAAAAGGTTCTGCATGTGGTGGTTTGGTATCCATTTTTTTCGTCGTCGTTTCGATCGRAAGTTCGAAAAATTTGTAACTTYCGATCTTGTGCAAGCAGCAACTTGAAACTAGCAGAACCTATTTAGGACATWTGACGCTAAAAACCCTGAAAGTTTCTTAAAGATCAAGTAACAGTCAGAGTTTTGCGCGATTTATGAGCGCCGGGGAAATGTTGTGAGTTCGAGCTCAACTGCAAGCTCGTCTTTAAAAATTCGTAACTTGTCACTCATAGCAGGCAACCACCTGAAACTTACAGACAGCATAGACGGTTTTTGACACTAAAACGTCTGAAATTTTCATTCAAATCACAGTAAAATCTGATTTTCCTGCTCTTTGGAAACGCAGGTATAAAAATGTGCGATTTTACTCCACTGCACGATTGTTTTTGAAAATTCGTAACTTATTATCTAGAACGGGCAGCAACTTGAAACTAGCAGAACCTATTTAAGACATTTGACGCTAAAAACCCTGAAAGTTTCTTAAAGATCAAGTAACAATCAGAGTTTTGCGCGATTTATGAG